TTCCTCATGTACTCGTGTCTCTCGTTCAGTCTTCTGTTGGTGTTGTGTTTAGCACTTGGAGTATGTTTACATGCACCGCATGCTTGTGTTGTCATGAACACGCAGTTAATGAGTTCTCTCGTTGGCTGCGTGTTCTAGTCTCGTTTTATGTGAGCGCATGGCTTGTGTTGTCTCTTTGAGTCATGTGCTCTCTCGTCTATTGTCTAGTCCCACCCTCCTTGTTAACCCATTATTAGTTTATTATGTTCATCTGTTTGTGTTAGTTTACTTCTCCTTATATTCTCCTCGTGTCTGCTGTCTTGTGGCAGTTCGTCATCATATGTAGCTTTGTCCTGTTCCAGTCCTTTGTGTTCCCGTCCGGATCCCTGCCAGCCTGCCCAGTCTTGTTTGTTTGTTTATTTGTTAACTTCATTAATGTTTTCCTCCTCGGGGTAGTTTATTTTGCTGTTTATTTTATTTTTACTTTTAATAAATACCAATTTTTCTTTGCATTTGAGTCCTCGCTCCTTTTTCCTCAACCTCAACAGTGACACTTTTCTTGGGAGGCTGAGGAGTGTGATCCTCTATAGTTGGAGCACATGAGAAATGAGTCTGTAAAATAACGATTGTACTTGCAGTTTATTACAACTTTTTAACGGTTAGTATTTATTAACACCAACCCAGAAAATATATCACTTTAATCTATTATAAATGTTAATAAAAGTAACTCTTTTTTTTTTTTTTAACTTTTTAAGGTTAAACTTCTTTGTAAGAAAGATCAAGGTCGCATAATGCAATTCAAATGCATAATGAAATGGGCGATAAAAAATAAAAAGTAAAAAACAGGAATCACAAAAAAAACTTGCTAATTTATGTATAATTTTGAGCATTTTACTGCATTAGGAATTCCTGTTTGTTCATGTAATATTCTTTATGATTATTATTAACATTATATCACAATCCATGATGCCAATTATAAGGCATTGTGCACATGACAGCTAGTAAATATTTACAAAATAATTTGTTTTGCATGCAAATTTTAAAACGTGCTTCTCATAAATAGATTATTGGCGCTTTAAACTGTGTGAATATTCTTAGTTGAATAATCACATGTGTAAATACTTGCATTTAAATTCTCAGTGGGAAAATGTTAATTATTTTAATTTTAAGTGAATAAAATAACATACATGCTGCTTCATATTTACCCCATCCAGCTTTTGGTTAAATCTTAGAGACACCATGGTGCTCTCAACTAAGTAGAGGAGACACAGAACTGTATTATTTAATTCACCATGGTATGAGCTTACTCTTATGAATATAGGGTTACATTTATTTATAACACACAGTCTGCAGGATAGTCCTTGCTCTGTCTGGTCATTTCTGGCACATTAATATCAGTGTTCTCTGTCATGATGTTCACATTCTCCAGCTCTGTGTCCTGACTTATCATGAGGAGAACCAGAGATAATGGCTTCTCATTTATTATTTTATGTTTTGCAGACAAGGCTAATCGTGTCAAGGTAAAGATTTCATAGCATCACACTATAATAATATTCCTTCATTTATTCATTTTATTTTCGCCTTAGTCCCTTTATTAATCAGGAGTTGCCACAGCGGAATGAACCGTTAACTTATCCAGCATATGTTTTATGCAGCGAATGCCCTTCCAGCCACAACCCAGTACTGGGAAACACCCATACACTCTTGCATTCACACACTACGGCCAATTTATCTTATTTAATTAACCTATAGTACAGAAATGCCAACTGACACAGCCAGGGCTTGAACCAGCAACCTTCTTGATGTGATGCGATCGTGCTACCCACTCAGCCACAATAGTACGATTTATTTCTAAAATTAACATAGTTTGTTTTGATCATAATCATTGTATGCAAAATTAACTTTTTTGAAAAGGCATTAAAAGTGCTGCTAGTTTCTCAAAATCTCAAAATCACACAGTCATTGCTGGAAAGAGTTCAAGTATACAAAATATGCTGGATAAGGTGAAAAATATGCAGGACATGGAGGATATTTCTGAAGAGCATCACTTTAAAGGGATAGTTCACCCCAAAAAAGCAAACGTACTCAATATTAGCCCTTGTGTGGTTGGTTCCAAACCTTTATGAGTTTCTTCTTTCTGTTGAACTATCACCTTTGACTTTCATAGTAGGAAAAACAAACACTATGGAAGTTCATTCTTCAAAATATCTTATTTTGTGCTTAAAAGAAGAAATGTAAATATGATTTAAACAAGTGAAGATTAAGTAAATTATGCCATTTTTTGTCAACTGTTGCTTTAATACTTTAGAACAGGGGTGTCAAACTCAGTTCCTGGAGGGCCAAAGCCCTGCACAGTTTAGTTCCAACCCTGCTTCAACACATTTACCTGTAGGTTTCAAACAAGCCTGAAGGACTCAATTAGTTTGATCAGGTGTGTTTAATTAGGGTTGGAACTAAACTGCAGAGCTGCGGCCCTTTTGGACATGAGTTTGACACCTGTGATCTAGAACAAACAAGGCACTCATGAACCATTTTTTAAAAAATGTCGTAGATCATCTTGGCTAAAAAATAAAAGTGTTAAAAAAAATCAATGGTTCACGTTCACAAACTTTTGCAGGGGTTTATTTATTTATTTTACAATTTATTTTTTTTAATCTTGTATATGCAAATATATTTCATGTGAAATATCTTACTCAAATTTAGTTCTAAATAAAAAAAAAACTAAAAAGAAAAAGCACGCATTTTATAGGATCTCTTTATTTTGTTCAAATTATTCACATTTATCCAGAATCTGCATGTTCATAAACGTGTAAGCAACTTTGTGTGTACAACAATGATTTCAAGTAAAATAGCTCCCTCTGCTGGCTTCTTTACTATCAGAAAATCGTCATGGCAGAAATATGGTTTCAAGTAAACCCATGTTCTCATTGCAAGGCACTAAACAATTTTAGCAGCAAAACTGCAAGAAAGATGTTTTGCTAGTCTGTAAGAATAAGTGTATATAGTGAAAGAGCAGAAGCAGGTTGAAGTATCTGACGTCTGCTACCTAAAACACTGCAATGCTGCTAGTTTGATTGATTCTGCCCATTATTTTGTAAGAGACATTGGTCACACTTTACAATAAGGTTCAATAGCTAATGTTAATTAATGCATTTACTAACATGAACAAACAATGAACAATACATCTACTACTGTATTTGTTCATATTAGTTAAGTTAGTTAATGAAAATACAGTAGTTCATTGTTAGTTTATGTTAGCTCATGGTGCATTAACTAATGTTAACAATGGACTCCGATGTTAATAATGCATTAGTAAATGTTCAATTATGATTAATTAATGCTGTACATGTGTTGTTCATGATTACTTCATGTTAGTAAATGCATTAACTAATGAACCTTATTGTAAGGGGTTACCGAGACATTCCCTCAGAAGTTTACATTTTCTGTCCCTGAAATAAAAACACAACATAAATACAGCGAATAAAAAGTATGTCATCCCCAAAATGTCTAAAATGGACTAATGGTTGATTTCTGTGAGTTGTTCTGTAAAAGGTGCATGTCATTCATTTGGTTCTCAGATTTATGTTCTTTATTAAAAACACGTTACTAATTTACAAACCCTATCATTGTCCTTGTTCCCAGCTCAATCGAACCTACAGTTTAAAAGTTTTGTTATGCTAAATTAATATAATATATTAATACATAATTAATAATTATTTAGAAAAATAAAATACTTCAAAAATAGCAAGTTGAAGTTGTTATCATTCATATCAACAGATTAAAAGTTTCAAATTATAAATAAGTCCTTCAAATAAATACTAAAAATATATAATACAAATAAATTTAGAATTGTCCTCATGTTTCTGTTAGTCCTGTCACATTTGGAATAAATGTAACATAAAAAGCGCATGGCGACGCAGTGGCGCAGTAGGTAGTGCTGTCGCCTCACAGCAAGAAGGTCGCTGGTTCGAGCCTCGGCTGGGTAAGTTGGTGTTTCTGAGGGGAGTTAGCATGTTCTCCCTGCATTCGCGTGGGTTTCCTCCGGGTTCTCCGGTTTCCCCCACAGTCCAAAGACAGACGGTACAGGTGAATTGGGTAGGCTAAAAATTGTCTGTAGTGTATGAGTGTGAATAAGTGTGTGTACGCGAAGGCAGGGAGAACATGCAAACTCCACACAGAAACGCCAACTGAGCAGAGGTTTGAACCGGCGACCCAGCGACCTTCTTGCTGTGAGGCGACAGCACTACCTACTAAGCCACTGCCTCGCCCTCCCCTACAATGTCCCATGCATAGAAACCATGTGTGCATTAGGTGCCAACATTGTTCACCAGAAATGTTGTGGAAGGTCTGTTATTTTTCAAAATGTACAAATCTCTGTATGAATTTTTAAGCTTTTAAAAGTTCCTATTTTGTTTTTACAGTTTTTTAGTGTAGCTTCCTCTATTGCAGTGGTCTCAAACTCAATTCCTGCAGGCCGCAGCTCTGCATAGTTTAGCTCCAACCACCTCCAACTCACACTTGCTTAACTAGTCTTGAACACCTTGACTAGTTGGATCAGCTGTGTTTTATTAGGGTTGAAGCAAAACTGTGCAGAACTGCTGCCGTCCAGGAATTGAGTTTGAGACCCATGCTCTAGTGGAATAACATGATGTATTAAATTATCTATGGAGTAGTCTGTTTTGATTTTGAACTTGAATTCCACATACATCTAAGGCTTATATTAAAGGGATAGTTCACCTAAAGCATGCCCCAAACATGGAAGCAAATAGACAGACTTTGATAGAATTTCCTAAAAAACTTTTTTTTCCCCCAATGGATTATTTACACAGACCATTGTTTACCTTATGGATTACAATGTACGCTAGAAAAATATACAGTCAATTTTGATTTCACATGGACTGTAAATGTAAGGATCTCTAAAATAAAAGAAATTTTTGTAAACAAAAATAAAGTTACTTTATTATTCTTTTTTTTCATTATGTTTCACTATAAGGTCACCATAATAAAAAAAAGCAACACAATTAATATTTCGTCAGTTTATTTATATATTTGTTAAGTAGTCATGATAAGTAGGGTCACCAAACAAACACAGTTTGATCAGAAATGAAATTTGCTTCTTGCAGTCTTCTCACATTATAAAACAACAGTATTTGATTTGTCAACTTAAGCATGTTGTTAGATAGGCATAAATTTTAGTTTTCTATAGGAAAAAAAATAATATACAATCAAGGTTTAACATTTAAAAAGCGAATGTGACATGCAGTGTGATCTACATTATATTTTCTAACAATGTTTCATTTCTGCTGCACTTTCCACAGACTGCAGGTATAATTACTTTACTAACTTCTTGAACTGTAAAAGTGATGAAATGTTTATGGCTGTTTTCCCTTTGTAAAATGCAGCTAGTAAAATGTAACTTCATTCAATCAATTAGTTTCTTTTCAGCTTAGTACCTTTCTTAATCTGGGGTTGCCACAGCGGAATGAACCGCCAACTAGTATGTTTTACACAGCGGATGCCCATCCAGCGGCAACCCATCTCTGGGGAAAAAAAAGTAACTTAAATGCAGCTATTTGGGTTACCCACTGATCTACGGAAATAAAAAAATAAATAAAGTTACATTACATTCTGCTGTATCTTTAGATTGTTACAGCACACAGAACATGTTCTTTTTAGAATATTAGGCTAACTGGTATAAAGGGTTGGCTTTGTAAAAGCAATTTGTGTGAAACTTCTGAAAATATTCAGTCATATTAAATCTTTTTTTTTTTTTTTTGTTAAACAAAAATAATTTATGACGACATTAAATGGATAGTTCACCCAAAAATGAATATTTACTCATAATTTACTCTACCTCAAGTGGTTCTTAATAATTATTATTTTATTTGTTATCCGTTTGACACAGAATAAGATACTTTTAAGAAAGCTGAATACCTGTAACTATTAACTTTCAGTAAGAAAAACAAATATGGAAGGTTTCCAGCTTTCTTTAGTATATCTTCTTTTTTGTTTAACAGAAGAAATAAACTCAGGTGTCAGCCTGTTCCACTGAACAAATATGATGAGAAAAATATATGCCTATGAAAAATATATAGGCCTCATGACAAACATGTTTATGAAAGATTTATGACAAGTTTTTTTTGTGGTAATGTCAAGTTGTCATGACAAAGACATCTCAAACAGAATAATCTTTGCTTTAAAAATGACAACTAAGCTAAGAGACACAATAACAGTTGTCAAAAGCTGCAGTATAAAATCTCCATATTCATTTCCAACCTTCTTCAGTGTATCTTCTTTTATGTTTAACAGGTGAAAGGAAGGAGTTTGAATGTTCCCCCAGTGTCTGTGTGGGTTTCAGCTGGGTGCTTTGGTTTCCCTCAAAGTCTAAAGACATGTTATAAGTGAACTGGATCAACTAAATTGCCCAACATTCTTGTGTGAATGAGAAGGTGTATGAGTGTTTCTTAGGGGTTTATAAGTTGGTACATTGTCTTTGGAAAAGTTTTAGGAGGTTTTATTTAAAAAATCCACATCCTCTATTTCAGAGACTTCTAAATCGGTGTTCTTTCTTGAAGCATATCCTGAGTCTGACGAAATGACTGAAGTGATAGAGTTTCTGTCTGATGCTGCAAAGCAAACACATTCAAATGAATTAATCTCCTCCTCATTGTAAATATTAACAGAAATGCATGAAGCGCTGTGAACTTTTGTTGTGGGATCATGTGGAAGATCATTATAATGCAGAGAAGAGGCAAAACAGTATCAACATGTTGATCAAATCTATAATACTTTATATTATACTTTAATTAATTAATTCATTCATTCATTTATTTTTATTTATCGGCAGCATTGACTATATTCATGGGAAAACCTATAAATATACAATACATAAAATGTCATCATATCGGTTTCTTAATAAACATTCATTGTAATAATAATTACAAAAAAAAAAAAAGAAACTAATTAAAAAAATAATAAGTGAGCTATGCACAATCACAACACATGCATTAGCTTAATTACCTAGTTTTCATTCACCTTTTATGCACATTTTGCACTATGGCATGAAAAATGCTTGATGGAAACCCCAAGATCTGCTTAAAATTTGCAAATGAATAGGATAAACTTTTTATCCAATAAGAAAAAATGTGCATAAATTATGATGGAAATTTGCATGAAATGCTTTAATGGTAATATGCTTTCATGATACACTGAAAAAAAAAAAAAAAAAAAAAAAATATATATATATATATATATATATATATATATATATATATATATATATATATATATATATATATATATACAAAGATGATTGCTTGGATTTACTCAATTTTTTACGTTAAGTGGTTGTAAACAATTTATTTGGGCTGAATTTAAACAAACAAATTAGGTTGAACATTATTAAACTTAATTTGTTTGTTTAAATTCGACACAAATAAATTGCTTGCAACCTTTCTGCATGCAACACTTTTTTTCAGTGTAGAATTTGGGTGCGACAGGGCAGCAATAATGCCCATACCCGCAGCCCATTTATTATCATATTTTGCACTTGTTTATCATAAAGTAATTATTTTGTTCTTTTTGACTCACTGAGTAGAAATTTTCCAGAGTGCAATATTCCAGTTTGTGCATGAGCTTGCACCCTTGTCAATTATGGATGAAAACACAATGAGTGCAGAAGACAAAGGAGCTTTAAGGTGCTGTATGTAAGATTGACACCCAGTGGTTGAACTAGGTATTGCAGTTTAAATTCAAGACATCTTTTCTCCCTGTCCCTCTGACGATGGCAGGTTTTTTTATTTTATTTTTTTTATCAAAGACGATGGCAGATTACCAGATTGACCAACGCTATCACATAGCAATTTGTGACTTTTTAATTTAGTAGCTAATTTGTATGAATTCATACGATCTCATTCATACAATTTAGTACGATTTGTTTATCCTTCATGGGGGGTCGATCGAGCAAGTGCCTGCTGAGAGGGGCACCTAACCCAATGAGGGCAGAGAGGTAGTAGCTCTAGCCACCGGACCACCCCCCTGTGCACGGCCCTGCTAACAGGAGTGAGCGTGCCTTACCATTGAGCCTACAAGATAACTAGATGTTATAAATGGAATCTTTTCCATGTTAAAAAGAATTTTTGTCCTAACCCTCATCTTAATTTTCTATTTTAGAAACGGTTTCTATTTCTCACAGCTGAACAGCAGCATAAATTATTATAACAATGATCACATCGGGTACTGATTATGTGCTTTTTTCAGTGTTAAATGCTATAAATGTGAGTTTGAATGCCAATTGTTATGACATTTAAGGCTCTATTTTGACAGTCCATGCGCAGAGCGCAAAACGCAGGGCGCAAACGCTTTCAGGGCGTGTCAGGACGCATTTTTGCTAATTTAAGGACGGGAAATCTGCCTTGCGCCGCGGCACATGGTCTAAAAGGGTTGAGTTTATTTTCTTAATGAGTTATAGGTGTGTTTTGAGAATAAACCAATTAGAGTCTCATTTCCCATTCCCTTTAAGAGTCAGTTGCGTTGCGCCAAGAGCGCATTCGCTATTTACAGGACGCAAAGTAAGTCTAAGTGGAAAAAATGAGCGTTTCACAAGCAAACAGTTAACAGTTAACAGTTTTTTAAACAGAAAACTGTTAAACAGAGCATCTACTGCGTGAGAATGAGAGATAATGGAACTACAGTACTTTCACATTCGCTCTTGGATAGGGAAACCTTTACGCACAGACATCAGTCTATAAATAAACAATTTTGTTTGTTAAGCAAAAATATTCGTTTCAAAACTATTTCTAAATTCAGTTCTAATTTCCAGCAAACGAATAAATGAACAATAATAACAAAATGTGCTCAAAAACATGAGTTATCTCCTAAAACACATGCTGTGCCCCATATGGTCTAAAACCTGACAGGTGGGCAAATCTAAGCTTGTTTTTAATAAAACAAATATAAATATGAATATAATAAAAACTACTGCTAATAATAATAACATTATACAAAAGCAAATTGTTATGAATGTACTGAAAAAGCCTCCCGAGATGAAGAAGACATAAAAGCAGTGATTTTTCATATTTATGTAGGCTAGAAAAAAAAAATGTTTTGAAATATTTTAATCCTTTATATTTATATTCTATATCTATTCTTAATATATACTATATATATCCTTAATATTTACATTTTTTCATATGTAAAGATATTTGCCTATTGCTCTCTTGTGCGTATTAAGCAGTGCGTAATGAAAAATCTATTATAGTTTCTCAAAATAGCAACGCGCCAGCGGTCCGCCTCAGAACGCCTTCCTTTTTAGACCAGAACGCCTATGGGCGCAAAAATGAGCGCTAATGCATTTGCTATTTAAACAGCGTAGCGCAACGCCTCAAAACGACTCTTGCGCCAAGCTGAAACTACCAAAAGACTATTGCGCCGCGTCTTGCGCCGGGTGTATGATAGGGCCCTTAGTGCCATATTTTATTTATTTATTTTTTAGCAGATAGTTTAAATATTGAAATAGTTATATAAAATAAACATATTTGAAAATGAATGTTAGAATTGTGACTCAGTGCAAACAGACAAACATCAGTCATCAGCATACACTTTTAATAATGTTAACATGCTTTATTATGCAGTAATTTGATTCAAAACTTCGAACTGCATTGCACTATTATACGCTTCTGAATGGCTGTGGTGGTATTTAAATATTTCTATCATGTTGCATGTCGATCTGGTGCAGAAAATCTAATTGCTTTTCACTGGAATCTTGTGTCGTGTTGTTAGGAAACAATGCTACAATGTACAATGTTACAATTTGCTTAGCAAATGTTTACGTTGGTAATATTTATATTATTTGCTAATAAAAAAACTACGTAATGTGGATATTTATAACTTTGGATCTGCATCTCATTGCGGAGGCTGCTACTGTTCTCTAGAAGTAGCAATTTTGGCCATGGCTGCATACATTAAGGCAGCCTTCAAGACTGAAAAGAAATACAGTGTATTTTACACCAAGGCAACCCAGAGGAAATATTATTGGGTAAACTGGCAGTGGATGGGTTATAGAGACCAAAACAAAGACATTTAGACAAAGAACGCACATTTTCGAAGGAGAATAACTGAATTAAGCATTGTTTTTCAAATTAACAAATATGTTCACTTAGCACGTATCTTAAATATCTGCAAATATATTATGCCATTTCTTTGCTCTAAAGATTCTTACATACATACAGGCAGCACCTTTAAAAACACACGATAAAATTGAGGAAAAAATTAAGACTAATAATAGGGAAACTGACTGTATATTGAACAGAGTATAAATTAGGGCAGAATGATCAATCAATCAATCAATCAATCAATTTCCATAGACTTTAACCTTATTTTTTACTCTTAGATATTTCTCTTATATACTCTTATATACTCACACATATCATCAGTTGATATTTGCTTCCATACCGCACTGCACAACTTTTTCATTTTTTTGTGGTTTTCATATGTTTCCTCTGTGCAAAAAAATGTTGATTTAACATATTATTGAATGCAGATTTTGAAAATATTACATTAGCAATGTTTTTGGTATGCCTTTTGAAAATATCAGTTCTATAACTAAATCACATATTTACTCACCACAATGTAAACATTTGTGATTTGAATTTGCAGGCTTTGAGTCATCTGAAATACTGATGTCTGCTATTGGCACTGGTGGGTTCTTGCCCCTGACTAGAGGAGAAAAGAGACACTTGACTGATAAATACATAAAAATAAAAACGTTTGAATTATACGTCGCTGGATGTATGATGTCTATTATGTAGGAACGATATTGATTTACCCGTATTGATTATTATTTAAGTTAAAATAAATGGTAACACTTTACTTGAATGGGGTATTCATGAGACAGTAGTGAAATTTTTATTTCATAACATGACACATAAACATTAATTAGATTATATGTATGTTTATAAAAACCGTCATTATATGTTATGTCATTTTAAATGCAAAGGTGACGTTGTTTGAAATGTCCTTGGTATGAGAACTTGACATAAACAAACATCATAACCAATACAACAAAGCCTGTTGTCTTTGTTATAAAACTTGACCTCACCAAAACAAAATAACTTGTCATAAACCTGTAATAAACATGATTGTCAGAAGGCCAATTTAATTACATCATGATTTTTATAACAGCATCATAATTTTTTTTTTTTGACTTCAACTACAGTGGTACAAATTTTATTTGTCATTAAAATGCCATTAAATGTTCCTAAATATTTCATTAAATTAATTAAATACGCAATTACAATGGCCATATAACAATCATGTTTAAGACAGATTTATGACAAGTTATGTGGTCTTAGTAATGTTAAGTTACCAAGACCACATAGACAAGACAAAGTAAAAAAAAAAAAAAAAAAAAAAAAGTCAAACAATGTCATCTTTGCATTTAAAATTACATAACTGAGTGAATGACTCTTAATGACAACTGCTTTAAACATGATTAAAACCTTCATATTCATGATATAAGGTCTCATAAACACCATATTCAAGAAAAGTGTTTCCCTCTAAAGTGAAGTTACAATAGTTACAATACGTACAGTCTGACTGATAGTCCTTGCTCTGTCTGGTCTCCTCTGGCACATTAATATCAGTGGTCTCGGTCATCATGTGCTCTGTAATACAGCTCCTTTGCCAATTTCTGTTTTGAAAAAAAATATATATGTTCTGAAACACGTGTTTGACTTTGCTTGAGTTTTTTAAAATCACTTTTAAGCAGTGCCTGAAAGTACATCACTAGAGGAATATTTGCTAATTATTAAGTTGACTATTTTTCCACATCAAATTTAATTCTGTTTAGAAATGATATATGCATAAATTGTCACGGTTGCAGGTTTGTGCGCTTTTCCGGAGTGTCTGTTTGATCATGTTGGTTTGTTTTTGTTCTCCTCGTGTATTTGTTTTGATCACCTGTGATGACGGCACTCAGCTGGCTTGATGAGCCTGCCAGCTGAGGCTCATATTCGGACCTATATATGGGCCACGTTTTCTGTGTGTCTTTGTCAGTTCGTTATGTGTGCTTATGGTGTGCTGTTCTGTCTGTGTGCTTAGGATCTGAGGACTAATTTCTGGACCCTGTTTCCCGTCTGATTCCTGCCCGATCTCTCCTAGCACTAGCACCACATTCTTCACTTGATTTTTGACTTTGTCAATAAATATTATTTTTGTTATACTCGCACTTGGATCCCCCTGAAAATTCTTTTATTCGTGACATAAATATGTTAACACACAAAAAAACATGAATTTTTACATTAATTAATTGTAATATATGTATCATTTACAAAAGTATATATTGATTCTAATATACAATGTTTTAATGATTAATTTTACATTTTTTTGAAAAATAATTAATAATAAATAATGAATACTCTGTGAATACTCTGTTTTATAGAAAACAGAGACACTTATGCAGTATGCTAAAAGTCAAGTAACACAAAACTCGACAGAGCATCATTTTTCACAACTATATACTTATGCTCTCCATTGTCTGTTTAGTTTTTTCTAACCATAATGTTCCACAGAAACAACAGAAGGTCAACTTCAAATGAATTAGTAGTACACATAAACGATCATGTCATTATATTCTCCTTACCTTTTTGTTAATGACACAAACAATGTTGGTATTACTGTAACTAAACAGAAAGAATTTGCTCACATTTACTGTTTTTTATTTTTTTATTTAAAGATTTAGTATTTAAGCAAACGTAATATAAATAATCTCTTACCTGGTACATTTATAGCACAGTTGACATCCCTCTTCTTTTGAGAACAAAATGCATCTAAGGAAATACCACAATAAAAAACAAAACCTTCCTTCTCGTAAGACATGCAGGACCAGTTGAACAGGAAGCATTAACAGTGAACACAGAGAACTTTTTTTTTCATGAGAAAACATTCATGAGAAGTAAAAAGATAATTTTGTGCATACATTATTAAATATTTTCTGAATACAATAATTTCATTCAGATAATGAAATTATTAGGTTTACTTTCCCATGTCTATACTTAAAGCGACTACTCCATCTGCTGGCAACAGAACAAGCACAATAATCACTGTTGGCATCGCCCACTGTAAGCATATACACAGCAAATACACTACATATAACTATGAACAAAATAGGACATTGAAAATGAAACATCCTCTTTATTGGGCATATTCATTTATTTTCATTCATTCATTCATCCCTAATTTTTCATCAGGGGTAGCCACAGCGAAATGAACTGTCAACTAATCCAGCATCCTGTATGTTTTACACAGCAGATGCATTTCCAGCAGCATTTCAGGACTCTACACAGAACTCTTCATAGAAATGCCAACTGACCCAGCCAGAACTCGAATCAGTGACCTTCTTGCTGTGAGGTGACAGTGCAAACCACTGAGCCACCGTGTCGCCATTCCTTTTTTTTTTTTTTAAGTTATGCATGCAGCATTTTGTTTATTTTATTCAGATATGACTTTGACATATGCCTACCAGTAGCTGATTACTAGTGTGAGCAGCAGTAACTAAAAAAGAAGGGTTACTAGAAAAAAATAAAAATAAAGGTCAGAAAACAAATTGCAATGCAGCTAAACCTTGTTGTTTCCGATATATTAAATGATAGAATGACAGTGGAAAATGCAATGTCTTTTATTTTTATCAGTCTTTAAACAACAAAAACAGATGACACATGTACAATTGAAGATGTTGTCACAGTTTTACTGTATTCAGTTGATCTATTTTCTTTCTTTCTGGTTCTTCATGTCTTTTCACATGGATGATATAGTAAAATCAGATATGCATGGAGCAATGGCTACTGTCAGACTTAATTAATCAATAAAATAATGTTGTAATATAATATTTGGGTCATTCTTACTATTCGGTGCTATTTCAGGGTAGTAACTGTCCCTGAAAAAAAAAAAGTAAAATTTTCCAGGATTTTATCATTTCAGTTGAACGAATACTTGTTACACTATAAGAAAAATATACTGGTCCAGCTCAGTAAATTGTGGTTTGGCATTTTTTGTTTTTTACTGAATTTCACATGTAGCACAGGCCAAATGTCCCCCTAAGTGAACATTCTTGTATCTTTTAAAAGTTGTTTAAAATAAATAGTTACAGAGTAAGAATAAGAAAAGTAGGGGATTTATATGTAGATAAAAAAATGCTTCACTTCAGCAGCTTTGTAAAAAATACAGTCTTCCTTCTAACCCCTTCTTTAGATACCTCCAAATAAGAGACTTTGTAAAGTCTAACATTTCTAAGGATTCCACAGTGTCACCCATGTATCTGGACACATTTCTGGAAAGATGTCTTAGAGATAGTAGTACCATTTCTTTGTCTTACGAGGGTTTAGAACAGATGAAAAGTCCATCTATAAAGAACATTAAATCAGCTTGGGAAGAAGAACTTGCAGTAGAAATTCAGGAACAAAGTCTGGAACTGGTTCACAGATGTTCCATTAACGCAAGACATTGTCTCATTCAGCTTAAGGTGCTTCATAGGCTTTATTATTCCAAGTGTAAAATTGAATAAACTATTTCTAGAAGGGCTGCCATTGTGTGACAAATGTCGGTTATTAGATTCCAACCTGTCTCATTCCTATGTTATTCGTCCCAAATTACAGAGTTTCTGGAACAAAATATTTCAAGTTTTTTCAGAGACATTAGATTCCGATTGTACCAGATCCTGTATTAATTATATTTGGAGTTTCTGAATAATTTTTGAGACTTACATTGGTACAAAAATAGTTTATTTCATATGGTAAAAAACCCATACTTTTGTTTTTGAAGAAAAAAGAAGTTCCAACTCTTAACTCTTATGGCTGACAGAATTAACAGGTACATTACATCTGGAAATAAAATTAGATATACCCTATTTATTATTTTGTTTGTTTGTTTATTTATTTTTCCAATACCTAATTGTTCAAATGTAAGTTTTATGTTTATATATTTTTTTTAAAGTGTATAATCAAGTGAATTTATGCGAAAAAATTTTAATAATAAAAATATTAAAACCAAAATAAATATTTTTTTCTAGTATTTTTTAAAGGTTTTATTAAACAAGAATTATCTAAAAAAAGACATGTTATGATTTATGGCACATTTAAAATTTTATGTTTTTCATTTAGTGTAAAAAAAGACTGCAATTTCATCAAATCCCATTTTCAAGTGACCAAATTTTTTCAGTTCTTTGGATGCAAGTAACCAGAAAAATATGTGTAATACTGTATATGTTGATTATATTTAATTAATATGAAAAAAAACTATATAGCTTACGGGGTGGAGAGAGGAGTAACAGTGTGGACACAAAGTAACAGGGTGGACATTACAATAAGAACTAAGAAAACTTGTTTGCCACACCCTCATTCGATTATTAATAACAAAATGATGGTTATCGAATTATTAAAAGAAAATAAAACAAAAAAAAACAGCAACAAACAGTAACAACATTTTTCAATGTCACATCAATTGTAAAAAATCCAAATGAAATACAAGCAACATTTTAAATTTCACAAATACTACAGTAAAAATAGTGAAATACTGAAAATTATTAATAAAACTATCCTTTTAAATTAAATTTTTATGGTGGTTTGCACCATGATGTGCCCTGTATCATCTCTGCTATTCAGCAGCAGACAAGAGTGCCATTCCCTGAAAAAAATCATGCACATGGTTTAAACTAATCTTCTTTGATTGTATAAAATAAGTTAATAATAATAAATAGCAATACCATGGACGCAGAGCAATATTTAAACAGTAACAGGGCAGACAGTAACAGGAATGATTTTTTTTTTGTGTGCAAATCTACTGATATGGTGAACAATGAGCTAGAACATGATGATCTGAGGGAGATTTGAAACATGTTTATTAACTCAAAATTACAAAAAAAAGGTATATATATATATATATATATATATATATATATTGTGTTCTATATAAAATGGCAAACAGGCTGGATGTGTTATGCTCTACCACAACAGAAAACTACTCTGAAATGTAGAAAATAAAAGAAGATAAAAGAGTTAGACAAACTCTGCTTTTTGTAGTCAAATTTCTTTCCTTAAATGTGAGTTAAATTTTTTGAAAATGATGTGACTAGATGAGAAATCTGTATGTATATATATATATATATATATATATATATATATATATATATATATATATATATATATATATATATATATGTCAGCTTCAAATATCTATATTACTGTAACTACCTACTCTATTGAATAATGTAGAGAAAAGTGTAGCAGCTTCAAATGTCTATCAGAGTAAACTACTGCCTTATTGTTTTTAGTTTTTTCATCAGTTTCATATTTAATTTGTTTATTAGAGTAGTAGTTCATTCCGATTGACATTTGAAGCTGACAAAATGCTTTACTCCAGTTTTTACACCCTTCTTTAAGCAGGTAGTTCATTCTGATATACATTTGAAGCTGACAAGATGTGCTAACCCTGTTTTTTTAGATTAACATATTGAGCTGCCTCAATGTGCCTCAAATAGCACAGATCATCAGAACACCGGCATATAATGTCTTGGGATACACAAATTGCACCGAATAGTAGTGTGACCCGTTTACAATTAACAATTTACTATATTTTTTGGTGAAAAAACTAATAGCCTAGCACTTTGGCGCTGACACGGTGCCATTATAAATGTAAATTATTTTTAATTATGACTGATCTTTAGCCTATATGTAATTTTCAAAAATTATTCACTTGTGTTGGAAAATGCTGCTGAACACAATGACAAAAAAAACTTTACTGAATACAATAAATTCAGTGTGATTAAATCTAATCATCATACTATAATAACATGATCTAATATGACCTTTAGAGGCTTTCATTTTCACATGAGCAAACGAAAAAGTGCCAAGAGCCCCTCCTCATAAACGAAAAGTCTTGCCTGAGAAGTCTTGTATGGTGTATGGGACCCATGTATTGAAGCATAAACAAACATTCATTCTCGTAGTTGGGTTTCCTACAAACATGACTCCGTTTTGAAGTTCATGGCCTCCTCCCCCATGGCCCTATTGGCCCGGTCTGTAATCCATCCCCACTCGTAGTCAACCCACACAACAACATGCTTCAAGGAAACGAAAAACTACGTTATCACGTGACCAAAATCTTCTTTCTAATCCAAATAGGCATATTTCATGATCCTCCACAAGGGGGCAGGGAGACCCACTCTCCCGCTCCACCACACTGTCCCAGTCTGGCGTACCAAAACAAATCCTCCATCCTTCCGTGCAATGCGATCCCGCACCGCCTTCCGGCTCTCTCAGCAAGTTTGTGTGAGCCAGTCTGTGATCATAGAAATACTACAGTTAATGGACGGTGTGAGGAATGACGTCCTGGTGTGATTTAAGCTGGAAAAAGCACGCAAATAACGACGGCGGAGCCGAACATTAATCCGCGATCAACAGGACGCTCTCCCCGGTCTATCCTGACCGCGGACAGCGAGGTTTGGTTGAGCTCAGAGCCCAAACAGATCACACACAGGTGGGACGGACAGACAGACGGAGGTTTGAAGTTGACAAAAAGGTGAGTAAAGTAAAACATTGCGCTTGTAATTGTGTGCTTGCTTAAGCCGATTCATGTCACTTTGCTTTTCTTATGTTCTTTATACTAATCGGAATAAAGAAATAGGCTAGTCAAATCAGCTAACAAAGAAACTCACGAAAGCTGTTTACATTTCTGATTATTACATTTACAAATGTATCATGGTAACCTCAGTCTACGTCAGAATGTAATGGTTACCGTCTGTAATGTTTCAACTAAGAAACTTTAAAGTATTTAAACGAAACTTATAGCTATGTTATTAGCCAGTGTTTTCAACAAAGTATAAATTAAGCTAACTTACTGTGAAAGAAAGCTGTTCGAAGGGAACAAAGATTTTTTTTTATTGACAGATTATTCAGTAGTTAATATGCAAATTTTATTTGCAACTGTGGTTACTGTGGTATTCAATAATAATGTGTTATTTATGTCCCTCTAGAAAAATAAACATAGTCTGATTTACACTTTTATTTCAGGTTTTGTGCTTTATTTTACATCGTGGAATGTTGTGGACTCGCACTTTCTTGATTTATTATTATTATTATTATTATTGTTATTATTATTATTATTATTATTATTATTATTGTTATTATTATTATTATTATTATTATTATTATTATTATTATTATTATTCATAGTTATTATTCATAATTATTATTATTGTTTTTGTATACATTTGTGTAAGTTGTCATTCTTGTTGTTTCTATGATAAACATTGGGTGTTTATTTCTAGTAGTTGTTAGTCAAGTTTTCACTGTCATGCTGTGTATCTTTTGTTTTGATTGATTGTTGTAGCTGTGTGGATGTTTCAAGTTTTTCAATCAGCTTTTTCATTTATATTTTTCCCTGAATCATTTGCATACGAGCAATTCCAGTGTTATGCATGTGACATTTGCAGAAAAAAACTCAAAACATAAGAGAAAAAGAAAGTATTTGTTAACATTTTATTGAAACCTCTGTTGATATTTTCCAAAGCAACTAACCAGAGATTTATGATAGCAGAAAAATCTCAATCTGTCAATATTTTTTATACTTTAAATGAGGACAATAAACATGCGTTATGTATGTGACCAAACAAGCCTGCAAGTTTACAGTACAGAAATTCTGTGAATTAAACTGCACAACCCAAAAGAAATAATGGTAATCAAAAGGATAAGAGTTGCTCACTTTAGAACAAAAATGACTGATTTTATTTTATTTAACATTTTTGTGTTTATGAGGAAAAAAGCTTTGTTATGGATGTGACGTCTTTCTGTTATGCATGTGAAATTGCCACTCTGTTTGAGAACATTGACAAAGACATTTTGAAGTTCTTTTATAATCCTGTAAAATACAAGCCTTTACACAAAAAATACTAAAAAGGGTTTCGCTATTTTGGTAAAATGTTTTTTTTTCATGGTAAGGTTGACATTTGCATGAAATTGCTCATACAGTAAATGAGTTATCATTAAAAAATTGATACAATCATCAAGTCCTTTGAACACGGCAGCAACTTCGTCAGTGGTGTAGAAAAAATATATATGTTAGATATTAATTTTACTAATTATTATATAAGATGGGGCGAGGCAGTGGCGCAGTAGGTAGTGATGTCGTCTCACAGCAAGAAGGTCGCTGAGTCGCTGGTTCGAACCTCAGCTCAGTTGGCGTTTCTGTGTGGAGTTTGCATGTTCTCCCTGCCTCCGCGTGGGTTTTCTCCGGGTGCTCCGGTTTCCCCCACAGTCCAAAGACATGCGGTACAGGTGAATTGGGTAGGCTAAATTGTCCGTATTGTATGAGTGTTTGTGTGAATGTGTGTGTGGATGTTTCCCAGAGATGGGTTGCGGCTGGAAGGGCATCCGCTGCGTAAAAACTTGCTGGATAAGTTGGTGGTTCATTCTGCTGTGGCGACCTCGGATTAATAAAGGGACTAAGCCGACAAGAAAATGAATGAATAATATAAGATTAGATTATGTTACTTCACGGTCATGTGTTTTGCTATGAATGAAAAAAGCTGATTTGATTTGAAAGCTTTATGTTCTTCTGAGGTCAAAACTTTCTCGTGGCCCCTTGGGTGTTTTTTAATTTGTTTAATGAGGAAACATTAAATGTGCATTAAATGTTGAGAACAACTGTATCACCGTATGTTTCCGCCTAACTAAACTAAAACTAAACTAAAAAGATATTAAGAGAGAGTTAGAGAAACTTTAAAAGGCTTTACATTTGTTTTTTATTTTTATTTATTTATTTTTTGGGGGTATGGCATTCTAAAGGAACTGCTGAAGAACCAAAATTTTGTTGTGTGTAATTAAATCAGATACAGCCATATATAATATGGCATTTTAGGATTGTTGTCCACTTTTTTTTTTGTCATTGTGATTCATAGTTTTCCCTGGCAGGTTAGCTTTGCATGGTTTTCTGCTTTCAGATTATTTACACACAGATTTGCGTCAGCTGTGTGCAGGCACTGGCCTTTTGTATAAAGTCTGCCAGTCATTCGCGCTCATTCATTGCTCAGGTATTGCGTGGAAAGTATTTTCCTTCTGCAAAACTGGCTGAACCAGAGCGTTAATTGTGCACACGCACAGACACACACACACTCAAAAAAGACAGGAAACAGTGGCATAAAAATGCTTAATGGTCCTTGTTGACTTGGAAGATTGGTTAAACTATAGTAACTATGCTGAAGAAAACTTACAATCTTTTAGGCAAAGATCAAATGGTGTCAAAATATATCTATGGTACACCTTCATCAATAATGATAGAAAAAGTGTTTGATACCGAATGATAGTTTCACCCAAAAATGAAAATGTGCACAATTTACTCACCCTCAAGAAGTCCCAAATCTTTACAAGTTTTTTTATTCAGTTCAACAAAAAAAAAAGATGTTTTAAAGGAAGCTGAAAACCTGTAACCATTGAATTCCATGGTAGGAAAAACAAATGCATTGAAAGCCAATAGTTACAGATTTTTAGCATTTTTTCAAAATATCTTCATTTGTGTTCAACAGAAAAAAATAAAGAGAAACGTGTAGCAGATAAAGGATGAGTAAATTATGGGTCAACTCTTTCTTTAACAGTGACATTTCTCTCTGTATTTAGTTTTTTAACATTGAAAATGGTTTATTAGGCTACTGTCACTTTAAGAGATAATGCGTAATGCGTAATGTTAAATAGAAATGCTAGGTTATTATCCCTTAAGACATAACCAATTGTGCTTAGATTACTCACAAAGATGGGTCATTTGAAATAATTTAACAAACTCATCTCTGTAACAAACTTAATAACACTGTGTGTAATACTGTAATAACACAGAATAAAACAAATGTTACTCAGGAGGCACGGACATATAGCTTCAAACTCATTCTTCAAAATATCTTCTCTTGTGTTCAACAGAAGAAAGAAAGAGAAATGTGTAACTAGTAAAGGATGAGTAAATTTATGGGTTAACTGTTTCTTTATTAGTGATCTTTCTCTCTGTATTTTGTTTAACATTGGCAGGTAGAAAATGCTTTATTTAGGGTACTGGAGAGATAACGCGTTGGTCAAATAGAAATGCTAGTTTATGCTCACTTAATACATAACCAATTTTGCTTAGACTAATCGCAAAGACGGATCATTTGAAATAATTTAACAAATTCATATGTTGGCTGTAGGGCTGGGCGATTTAGCCAAAAAAAAAAAAAATCTAGGTTTTTTATAAAGTTTGACCAATTCACGATTTCGATTTCGATTTTTTTTTTTATTGTGTAACATTTTTTATTGTGTAACTAGTCTTCTCAAAACATTACAACAACATGACTGAAAGTAACTACTAAACCATCTGGTTAAGGAACATTGTATTTTTAATTGGCATGTCAAAAAAATCGGTCAAGGTGTAAATAAATGTAAAACAAATTCACGAGTTAAATAGCGTTGCTGAAGATTTGAATAAGAAATATTTGTGTAAATATTGCACTTGCAGGAATACAGAGGTATTTTTTTGCAAGTTTTGCTGAGCCTAGGAAAGATTGGCTGTCAGCTCGGCTTTGACTTTGTCTTCTGATTAAATGACAGGTTGTAATGCTGCTGCCTTTTTCTTAAAAAGATACAGTGGAAGTAAAGGACTGAACATGGAAACTGTAAAGCCTAGTTTAACCCAATGTGTGAAGTTTTGGACGTATAGAAGGAGCAAATAAAAACACCAGATGTGTGTCTAATATAAAATAATATATTCAATCTATTTTTCTTTTTTCCCCCTTTTAAATACCGATCATTTGATGCGCTTTGCTCCACTTTCTGGATTATGCTGCCTGATCTGTCTGGTTTTCAACTAGGTCCGCTAAATGACGTCAGGGGGGCGGGTACTTTCATTTTCACTGCTACAGGCCCTCACCTCTGCTCGTGTTCAAACCAAAAGATCGGCGCTGTTTTTCACATGGCAGGCTTTTACGTCCTTCATACATGTTGAGATCGAGTTTATCGACTTGATGAGGGAATGTCTTGACAATCCACACAGACGTGGAACAAGTAAAATCCTACATGACTTCACGCACACCAGAAACGGCACGGACATGACAGTTTAAACTATCACACTCCAAGATACACATGATATTTAACATGAAACTAATCAGATGGCGCACTGTGGTGCGGCTGAAATGAGAACTGCTTCGTGAATCGTGGCTGGGTGGCGCCGGTGTGTGTATAGAAACCTGTTTAGAATTCTAAAATCCATGGCGCTGCGTGATGCTGTGCGTTGCGTCGCCGAGAGGCGCTTCTGGTGTGCTTCCTGCTTCACACAGAGAGTGAACCAAAGCGCATAGGTGCTATTATAATGGACAAAATATATATTTTTTAAAAAATCGAGATTTCTCGATTTAATTAAAAATTAAATCGTCTTAAAACGCAAATTCGAATTAATCAAAAAAATCGGAAAAATCGCCGAGCCCTAGTTGGCTGTAATACTCTAACAGCACTGAATAAAATGAATGTTACTCAGTGTGACAGGAGACACTCATTCTTCAAAATATC